TAATGACATTATATTGCACATGGCTTGTATGCAGGGGCGGACTGACAACTCATGGGGCCCCCGAGCAATAGGGGATCATGAGGCCCCTGTGTCCTTGCCCAAACTCAAAAAAGCCTATTAAAAAAAGGTACCAGGGGCATCTCATGGGGCCCCCTACTGACTCTGGGCCCTCTGGCAGTGCCCGAGTTTCCAAATGGTCAGTCCGCCCCTGCTTGTATGTAGCTAATATGTACGGTATATCAAAATTTAGTTTTTCTTTAAATTTTGACTGTGCTGTTGTTTATACCAACCAATTTCATTCTATCTTCCCATATTGGCACTGGGCAATGAAAAGCCGAATCTGATTAATATGTGCAATGCAGGCAGTTCTTGTTTCAGACATTTTAATAAATGAGCTGCGTGTTTGAAAACTGGCAATATCAGAGGCGGACTGACAACTCATGGGGCCCCTGGGCAATAGGGGATCATGGGGCCCCTGTGTCCTTGCCCAAACTCAAAATAGCCTATGAAAAAGGTACCAGGGCATCTCATGGGGCCCCCTACTGACCCCGGGCCCTCGGGCATTGCCCGAGTTTCCAAATGGTCAGTCCGCCCCTGGTCTAGGCACACCCTGGTGTGAGAGCAGTGTGCATGGGTTGATATGGTGTCTCACCTCTGATAACATTGGTGAGACCTTTCACCAGGGGATTATTGATTTTTTTATTTTATTTTCAGGTACTTATATAGCGCCATCAATTTACACAGCACTTTACATTTATATTGTACATTCACATCAGTCCCTAACCCTCAAAGGGCGTACAATCTAAGGTCCCTAACTTACATTCATACATACACATACTAAGGCCAATTTAGATAGGAGCCAATTCACCTAGCAGCATGTCTTTGGAGTGTGGGAGGAAACTAGTGTATCCAGAGGAAACCCACGCAGGCACAGGGAGAACTTGCAAACTCCAGGGATGTGGTGCCGTGGTTGGGATTCAAACTAACAACCCTAGTACTGCCAGGCCGAAGTGCTAACCATTTAGCCATATCTTTATCTATGTGAGTTGCCTACTTTATGTTTAATAAAAATCTTTTTATGTCTGCACTTAGTGTATTTTTCTGTCCCTTTCAGTATTTGAACATTGGTGCAGCTGAGCTCCTATACCATCAGACAAATTTAATGTAAAGTTGTCAACGCATCCGAAACAGTTTTTATGGTTTGAGCCTGGGTTCACACTTGTGCGGTGCGGCACACCGCATGTGATTCGCACAGGAACCGCACTGCATTCCTGTGCAAATCACATGCGAATTCTGTGTGGTGCGATTTGAGCCATACATTTTGTAAGGCTCAAATCGCACCGCGTTCGCACCAAAAAGGTGCAGGGCCCTTTTTTTGGTCCCCACTAGAATCTGATCGCATGGGTGTTCACAACCATGCGATCCGAATCTGCACATCGCACCGTGTTTTGCGAACTGATTTCAGTGTGTCGTTAACTTAAGATACACACCCGCAATGGTTCCTGTGAATGGGGTACAATTATGATGCGGTGTGAAAGTCGCACAGAAACTTGCTAATTTCGCACCGCATCAGTGTGAACCCAGGCTGAAGAAATAAGATATCTTAACCATTATCTCGCCATTATTACGCCATTCCCGAAAATTCTAATTCAATGTTATTGTGCTATTGCTGTGTTACTTTATGTTTCACAGAAGTAGAGTGCAGTCAGTTCTGCTTGGTGTTCTATTTCTCGTTCCTCTGTTTCATGTTTATATATAAAGGCTGCTGTGCATGGACGGGGAAACAGATGTTTTGTTCTGTGCTCAAAAGGACATATCAAAACATTGAATGCTTTCTTGTTGCTGCAAATATACTGTCATCCAGTACAAAGCAGTGTGCTGTTTAGAAAGTCTTGGCGATTCATTACAAATCACTAAGTGGGATTTAGTGATAAATGGCATTGTGGATTGTTGGCTAACCACTGGTATGTTCAATTAAAGTGTTACTAAACCCACAACACTACAATCAGTCTTTATATGCAGTGGAGCATGCTTGTTATACTCACTGTGGAACCTAAGGGGTTAATCCTCCGCATTGTGTAAAAAGGCCATTTGATCCTGTCTTCTCTGATTCTCCCTTTCTTCCAGTGTCTGCTAAATATCTGCTGATAGAACAGAGGCTCAAGGCAAGCTGCACATGCTCAGTTTGGTGTCTGTTGCTAGAGAATTTTTTTTTTCTTGGGAGAGCGCATATGGTCAGCACAGGGCCAATCAGCACTCTCCAGACAGAGGTCAGGGGTCCTGCATTCACCTACAGGAGAATGAAAACTCCTCCTACAAGCTGTAACCAGTGCTTTGCTGTACACTGATAGAAGTCACAAAACTGCTGTAACTGATTATGAGAAAAAGTATTTAGCAGTTTATCTTTACAAAAATAATAAATTGTATTTCCATGTTGTGTGTACTGTGGGAGACCAGATATAGTGAATGCAGGGACCTGGGTTTAGTAACACTTTAAGACAACTTATTGTAACTGTTATTCGTATTGTGACCACTAGGCAGGCTTTGGAGCACTTCCAAGCTTTTCTTTAATATATCTTGGCCAAGCACAAGGTTGGTGTGTGTATATACTGTATGACGGTGTGTATTTGTATACTTGAATAGAATTTAATATGGCATTTGTCATAATATTGGTAGAATAATCACGAATTCACTAATACTAATAAGCAGCTCAAATTTGAATAAAGTGCTTAAGTGTTATAACATGTGTATATATATATATATATATATATATATATATATATATATATATATATATATATATATATATATATAATGTGAATGAATAAATAAATACATAAAAAAAAGTTCAATTCATAAAAATGAAAACCCAACCATGGCACCACCTACCTGGATTTATGTCTGCACTTCAGAGTCATTTTTTTCTGCCCCTTTCTGTTTGCACTACCACAGTAAGCTTTTGCTCTATGGAAAGCCTGCCCACAGTGGATGGATGGACATTAAAGGACTTCCTTTCTATACATTTGGGACTCTTATGATATACTGTATCTATTATTTGTTATTATTATTATTTTGTTGACAGTTGTAGTGAGTGGAGAATCACAGAGCCACACTCACACAGACACGAGACATCAGAGTCAGACATTACCTTCCTCCGCAGGCACAGGCACAGCTTTGCCTCCGCTGATGAATGGGAAGAGAAGGGCTGGAACTCCACATTGATCAGCAGCTGCCTGCCAGCTTTCAGTAAGGGACTGAGTCTGAGAGGAACACTGGAAGGAGCGGAAGCTCAGCCGCTACACTGGCCCCAGACACCCGACATCTTCCTCTGTCCTTTCTTACTCCCCTCTGCCACCCCTCCCCTCAGCTGGAGGTTCATTCATGATGTAGCGGCATCCTGCACAGAGAGAGTGCCAGCCTGTGCTGCACCCAGGCACCCCTAGGTGGCAGTGCACCCTAGGCGGCCACCTAGTTTGGCTAGTGGAAGCACTGGCCCTGGGCCCACTGCAGGGGTGGATTTTGTCTAATTTCTGGAAGTCATCTTTAAATTTGTTTTCTTTATGCATAGTATATATCAGCTCAACGTTTTTCTGTTACTTCTGTTCTGGAACATTGTTATTATAAGAGGCTGTGGGGTGTCCAATTCTCCTCTCATCCAGTAACTATGCCTGGCTACTTGGAGTACAGTTCAGCGGGGCACCCAATATCACAGCCGAAAGGGTTAGTTCACCTTTACAGAAACCTGAACCCCATCCCCACCCCTCCAGTCCCCGCTGTACTTACCACCGGTGATCCTCAGCTGTCAGGGCTCCCACAGCCACTACGATGGTCTTGGGATTTGAAATCCCTGCTCCCATTTCTCTTCTCCGTCCTGGGCTGCCAGGATGGACCAGATACATTCTGATTGGTCAGTACTGTCACTGAATTATTCAACAGGCCAAATGACTTGAGGTTTGGTTGGGCATGTTGAAAATCCTAGGTAGCACTCTTTGTTTATGAGGAGGCTGGGCAGCTGTGTTTGTCATAATTAACATTGCACTGTGCAAGCAGATCTTCATTATCAACACTCCAGTCCTTAGAGAAGAGGAAGGGCAGCCTGTAAACCTGTAGCCTAACAGTACTTAGTGCTCTGATAGATTTGTCTGTCCTAACAAAGGTTAAAGGCGAAGCAGGTGGGCTTTTTGCATTGTATATTAAAGAGGACAGACTTGGGACAGGCTCACAATAACATTGTTTACAAAAATACCTTGTGGTCAGCCAAGACATCTTGTCCTGGGAAAACTCTAAAAAGTAAGAAATACATATATTTTTAATTTTTTAGGCATGCTGTATGAATTGGGAAAACATACAGTCACATAAATATAGTGGGGTTTTCGCAAATTTGACTGGCGAAGTGGAAATACTCTTTAGGTCATGTGAATACTTCTACAAATCTTGCATATGATTTGTATATGTCGTTGTCTGCAATTGTTACAAATTCTGCAACTGTATATCTGATAGCCCTGCCTACACTGGGAGAAAAAGCAGCTATATCGCTTAGCTGTGATAAGTTGGTGGAGTTAAAGCTTTCAGGAGAGAAGAGGTCAAGTACTAGGATATAACAAAAGAATCTGAAAAACACAGAAACGTGCCCTTGGGGAAGTAAAGACATTAGTACAAGGATTTCAGCAAGGTATTACAGGCCCATTTTGCTTCCACAAACATAATGCACTACTTTTTTTTCTAGGGATTTTGTTAAACGCTAACTACTATTCTTCTATATGTCTGCAATACACATTTGACTTGTGCAAATTCACCAACACAAAACAAAACCATGGATCTGCTCAGCAAATGCTTCTAATATTCATGGTGGATGGGTGAAGCTTTACAGCCAGACCTCACACTTTCTTTGCAGAATGTAAGGCCAGGATTGTCCTAAAGATTAACTAAACTACATTTGAGCACCACAAACTACAATGTTTTTTTTTCGCTCCATAAGACGCACCTGACCATAAGACGCACTAAGTTTTAGAGGAGGAAAACAAGAAAGAAAATATTCTGAACCAATGGACTGCAGACACAGTACAGGAGATGACCAGAGACTGCGGACATAGTACAGGAGATGACCAGAGACTGCGGACACAGTACAGGAGATGACCAGAGACTGCGGACAGTATAGGAGATGACCAGAGACTGCGGACACAGTACAGGAGATGACCAGAGACTGCGGACATATTACAGGAGATGACCAGAGACTGCGGACATAGTACAGGAGATGACCAGAGACTGCGGACACAGTACAGGAGATGTTATATAAACTATTATTCCTGCGCCAACAGATTCCCACAGGTGCTATACTGCTGCTGTGCACTGTGCAAAAACACAAACCACAATAAATAATAAATAAACCAGCGCAAACATAGACCTCTACACACCATTAATCAATAAATCAAGTGCATCATAATAAAAATTAATAAAATATTAATAAAATTAACAAAACTGAAAGTCCACAAAACAGAAAAAATTATTTTTTTGTCCGTGAAATATATATATATCAAGTGAAAAAAAAATATATATCAAGTGAAAAAATATATCAAGTGAAAAAATCAAATGAAAAAAATATATCAAGTGAAGAAACATTAATCAAGTGACTTTCTTCTTTCCCAAAGCATCTTCAAATACACCAAAAGAAACTTCCACCCGTGAGACCAACATCAAATACACTCACCAGATTTAGGTGAATGGGACACTTTTTAGGACTTTAAGGGATCCTAATACCCTCTTTGCTGATCACTCTAGGGGGATCTTCAACGATACAAATAGGCTCCACCGTTCAACCAGGGAGAAAAAAACTTACATAGTGTAATATTGCCACTTAGAATCATCCTTCATAATAAAGACTATTACCACTCACATTTTTCTCCTCTTTTAAAAAGCATGTTTAATAAAAGCCAACATCTTCCAGATCGATAGTAGACACTGTTAATGCCTCCTTAGGACTCTCACATCCCAGCTCAGGATACAGCAGCAGCTATGCAGACTCAGACTTTCCACAAATCCCAGAAAATGGCTGCTGGAACAAACCTCTCGGCATGCGTTCCACTCACCGGAAGTGACGTCAGACATACGGGGTAGACCGGAAATGCGTCAACGCGTTTCGCCCCTCCCTCAGGTCTTGAGAACGCCCTGAGGGAGGGGCGAAACGCGTTGACGCATTTCCGGTCTACCCCGTACGTCTGACGTCACTTCCGGTGAGTGGAACGCACGCCGAGAGGTGCGTTCCAGCAGCCATTTTCTGGGATTTGTGGAAAGTCTGAGTCTGCATAGCTGGTGCTGTATCCTGAGCTGGGATGTGAGAGTCCTAAGGAGGCATTAACAGTGTCTACTATCGATCTGGAAGATGTTGGCTTTTATTAAACATGCTTTTTAAAAGAGGAGAAAAATGTGAGTGGTAATAGTCTTTATTATGAAGGATGATTCTAAGTGGCAATATTACACTATGTAAGTTTTTTTCTCCCTGGTTGAACGGTGGAGCCTATTTGTATCGTTGAAGATCCCCCTAGAGTGATCAGCAAAGAGGGTATTAGGATCCCTTAAAGTCCTAAAAAGTGTCCCATTCACCTAAATCTGGTGAGTGTATTTGATGTTGGTCTCACGGGTGAAAGTTTCTTTTGGTGTATTTGAAGATGCTTTGGGAAAGAAGAAAGTCACTTGATTAATGTTTCTTCACTTGATATATTTTTTTCATTAGATTTCTTCACTTGATATATTTTTTCACTTGATATATATATTTTTTTCACTTGATATATATATATTTCACGGACAAAAAAATAATTTTTTCTGTTTTGTGGACTTTCAGTTTTGTTAATTTTATTAATATTTTATTAATTTTTATTATGATGCACTTGATTTATTGATTAATGGTGTGTAGAGGTCTATGTTTGCGCTGGTTTATTTATTATTTACAGTACAGGAGAGGACCAGAGACTGCGGACACAGTACAGGGGATGACCAAAGACTGCGGACACAGTACAGGAGATGACCAGAGACTGCGGACACAGTACAGGAGATGACCAGAGACTGCGGACACAGTACAGGAGATGACCAGAGACTGCGGACACAGTACAGGAGATGACCAGAGACTGCGGACACAGTACAGGAGATGACCAGAGACTGCGGACACAGTACAGGAGATGACCAGAGACTGCGGACACAGTACAGGAGATGACCAGAGACTGCGGACACAGTACAGGAGATGACCAGAGACTGCGGACACAGTACAGGAGATGACCAGAGACTGCCGACATAGCACAGGAGATGACCAGAGACTGCCGACATAGCACAGGAGATGACCAGAGACTGCCGACATAGCACAGGAGATGACCAGAGACTGCCGACATAGCACAGGAGATGACCAGAGACTGCGGACACTGTACAGGAGATGACCAGAGACTGCGGACACAGTACAGGGGATGACCAGAGACTGCGGACACAGTACAGGAGATGACCAGAGACTGCGGACACAGTACAGGAGATGACCAGAGACTGCGGACACAGTACAGGAGATGACCAGAGACTGCGGACACAGTACAGGAGATGACCAGAGACTGCGGACACAGTACAGGAGATGACCAGAGACTGCGGACACAGTACAGGAGATGACCAGAGACTGCGGACACAGTACAGGAGATGACCAGAGACTGCGGACACAGTACAGGAGATGACCAGAGACTGCGGACACAGTACAGGAGATGACCAGAGACTGCGGACACAGTACAGGAGATGACCAGAGACTGCGGACACAGTACAGGAGATGACCAGAGACTGCGGACACAGTACAGGAGATGACCAGAGACTGCGGACACAGTACAGGAGATGACCAGAGACTGCGGACATATTACAGGAGATGACCAGAGACTGCGGACACAGTACAGGAGATGACCAGACACTGCGGACACAGTAGTACAGGAGATGACCAGACACTGCGGACACATTACAGGAGATGACCAGAGACTGCCGACATAGCACAGGAGATGACCAGAGACTGCCGACATAGCACAGGAGATGACCAGAGACTGCCGACATAGCACAGGAGATGACCAGAGACTGCCGACATAGCACAGGAGATGACCAGAGACTGCCGACATAGCACAGGAGATGACCAGAGACTGCCGACATAGCACAGGAGATGACCAGAGACTGCCGACATAGCACAGGAGATGACCAGAGACTGCGGACACTGTACAGGGGATGAACAGAGACTGCGGACATAGTACAGGGTATGAACAGAGACTGCAGACCTTTGGGGAGGGGAGGGGGAGCGGGTACCTGAATTTGACAGCTACCCGCTCCCACTTCCTCCCTCTCCATCTTCTGGGACACTTGACAGGTACCAGAAGACTGCCGGACCATTCACAAAGCGCTATGCTTCGCACGCATACGCAGTGGGCACCCGGCTACAGTGTCGTCTGGCACTGCACATTTAATGGCCCCAGATAGATATATTGTATACATGGATACCTAAGGTTGAGAGTGAAATGGGGCAGATTTACTAAAACTACAGAGGGCAAAGACTGGTGCAGCTCTGCATAGAAACCAATCAGCTTCTAGCTTTTTTTTTTGTTACATTTTATTTGAACAAGCTGTTAGAAGCTGATTGGCTACCATGAACAACTGCATCACATTCTGAGTGCTCCAGTTTTAGTACATCTCTCCCAATCTTTTTACTAGCATCATACTGTTGCACTAAATGGCAATCACCTAGAGTTCAGGTTTCATACTCCATGTGTACCTTGCTAACCCTGATGGATATACAGCACAAAGCTGAGTGCCAGATCTCTGTTCTGCATTTAGTGTACTTGAACTGCGATGACAGGCAGTCCTTACCATTGCTAAAGTGCTAAGTTCTAAAGACTAACATCCCCTCACCCCCCCCAACAGATCCTGCAATTTAAAGCAGATCCCACCCCCACCGCCCCCCAATAAGACTTCCAACAGCAGTACAGCAATAATGCATTACGTTTTGTAATAGTGACTTGCATCCTTCATTTATGTTTTTTTACAGTGCATGTGATCCAGCGACGTCCCGCTGTCCCCACAGCAAATGGGAAACAGACAGCACTATTTTTAAAATAGATATCAGCGGAGCACGGATTCCCTTTTTTTATTCTGTGCCAGTCCAGCAGTGATTTTTGCATTTCACACATGCGTCATAGGAGACTGGGTGCAGTTTGTTATTAAATAATAATAAACCACGCCACATCCAGTACGCCACATGCGCAAGATCAGGCACCAAGCAGACAAGATCTTCGCGGTAGGCACTGGTGACGTAGCCTTCCCAGAGGGCACCTAGCAGGCAAGATCTTCCCGGTAGGCACTGGTGACGTAGCTTTCCGAGAGGGCTCCTAGCAGACAAGATCTTCTCGGTAGGCACTGGTGACATAGCCTTCCCAGAGGTCACATGGCAGGAAAGATCTTCCTGGTAGGCACTGGTGACGTAGCCTTCCCAGAGGGCACTTAGCAGGCAAGATCTTCCCTGTAGGCACTGGTGATGTAGCCTTCCCAGAGGGCACCTAGCAGGCAAGATCTTCCTGCTAGGCACTGGTGATGTAGCCTTCCCAGAGGTACCCTCTGGGAAGGCTAGCCGGCAAGGTCTTCCTGGTAGGCACTGGTGACATAGCCTTCCCAGGGGGCACCTAGCAGGCAAGATCCTCCTGGTAGGCACTAGTGACGTAGCCTTCCCAGAGGGCACCTAGCAGGCATGATCTTCCCGGTAGGCACTGGTGATGTAGCCTTCCCAGGGGGCACCTAGCAGGCAAGATCCTCCTGGTAGGCACTAGTGACGTAGCCTTCCCAGAGGGCACCTAGCAGGCAAGATCTTCCCAGTAGGTACTGGTGATGTAGCCTTCCCAGAGGGCACCTAGCAGGCAAGATCTTCCCGGTAGGCACTGGTGATGTAGCCTTCCTAGAGGTGCCCTCTGGGAAGGCTAACTGGCAAGGTCTTCCTGGTAGGCACTGGTGACGTAGCCTTCCCAGGGGGCACCTAGCAGGCAAGATCTTACCGGTAAGCACTGGTGATGTAGACTTCCCAGAGGGCACCTAACAGGCAAGATCTTCCCGGTAGGCACTGGTGACATAGCTTTCCGAGAGGGCTCCTAGCAGACAAGATCTTGCCAGGAGGGACTGGTGACATAGCCTTCCCAGAGGGCACCTAGCGGGCAAGATCTTCCCGGTAGGCACTGGTGACGTAGCCTTCCCAAAGGGCACCTAGCAGGCAAGATCTTCCCGGTAGGCACTGGTGACGTAGCTTTCCGAGAGGGCACTTAGCAGGCAAGATCTTCCCGGTAGGCACTGGTGATGTAGCATTCCCAGAGGGCACCTAGTAGGCAAGATCTTCCCGGTAGGCACTGGTGACTTAGCCTTCCCAGAGGGCACCTAGCAGGCAAGATCTTCCTGGTAGGCACTGGTGACGTAGCCTTCCCAGAGGGCACCTAGCAGGCAAGATCTTCCCGGCAGGCACTGGTGATGTAGCCTTCTCAGGGGGCACCTAGCTGGCAAGATCTTCCCGGTAGGCACTGGTTACGTAGCCTTCCCAGGGGGCACCTAGCAGGCAAGATCCTCCTGGTAGGCACTGGTGACGTACCCTTCCCAGAGGGCACCTAGCCTTTTATCAAAGTCTGTGTCTGTGTTGCAGATTTTTTTCCTCACTTCTTGTGCAGTGACAAAATTTTCAATGGGACAGGAAGTAAGAGGAATTGTCCTCAACAAAGCCTTGGACAACAATAAAAACTTGATGGGGGTTCTAACCTTTCCCCAATCTGTGTAAAAAGAGTAAGGCTATTTTCACACTGATCCGCCGCAAAAACACAGCAAAAACGCATAGGCGTTTTTATCACACTTTTGCCGTGCTTTCTGAGCGTTTTTAAAGGACATGTGACTGAAAAAAACTGCACCAAAAATGCTTCTGAGAGGCGTTTTTTAGGCGCTTTTCTCGCGTTTTCCATTGATTTCAATGGGAAGAGGTGTTTTTGGGGCGTTTTTTTTTTAACTTCCCAAAGATGCTGTAAGCAGGAGTTTTACACCGCACCTCAAGCGCAACGCTTCAGTGTGAGAACATACATAGATATACATTCACAAACACAGGGAAGCTTTTCCTTGAGCTTTTCAGGCACTTTTTTAACGCAAAAAACGCTTCAAAAACTCCTCAGTATGAAAGCAGCCTTATACTTTATGGCAGGCCTTGAAATTTCCACTCGCCTGCTCGACAATGGCGAGTGGAAATTATGGTGGGGGGCAAGTGTGTCCCCCAGGGCCGTCTTGCTGAGCAGGCTCGGAGCTCAGGCCGGATCTGTCATTGGCACTGGGAGCCGCCAGACTGCTCAATAGCTGAGCGCAGTGAAAGCAAAGGAAGGAGTGTGTGCTGTGCTCTCTGCCTCCCCCTAGAGTGCAGTACCCGGATCTGTGAGTGAACAACGAAGTACTGCAACTTTTTATAGGGGTGTGTGTCTCTGTGTCAGGGCTCCCAGGTATGACCAGAGGTGTACTGATGCAGGGAAACGCAGACTTCAGATATGTGCATGTGTCTGTGCAAACAAACCAAACCAAACCACCCACAGATAACAGTACATACAAGTGTCACAATATCAATTGTAGGTAGTACAGGGGGAGCAAGCAGAGAATGGTGGGGTCAAGGCGCAGTAGCAAGCAGCGTGTACATGTGTCTGCCAGAGTAAAACAGGTGCAGCGTAGTACAGAGGGTCTGTGTGTGTATGTACAAACACAACACCAAGGCAGAGTATGTGTATCTGTACAATGTGTCTGTTAGCTGGCTGAAAGGTTGAGTGTACACCCACTGGTGTGTACTGCAGATCAAAAGGCAGATGTACGTGGCCAGTCCATCTGTATGTGTACATGTGTCTGTGTGTATGTACATATGTGTATCTGTACATGTGTCTGCGTGTATGTACATGTGTGTGTGAGTGTACGTTTCTGTGTGTATGTACGTACCTGTGTCTGTGTGTAATGTGTGTATGTACGTACATGTGTCTGTGTGTACATGTATCTGTGTATGTATGTACATGTGTCTGTGTATGTACATGTGTCTGTGCGTGTGTATTTCTGTGTATGTACATGTATCTGTGTGTATGCGTGTCTGTACGTGCCTGTGTGTGTATACATGTGTCTGTATGTGTGTGTGTACATGTGTCTCTGTGTGTGTGTGTGTGTGTGCGTACATGTGTCTCTGTGTGTGTGTGTGTGTGTGTGTGTGTGTGTGTATGTACATGTCTGTGTGTATGTACAGGTGTCTCTGTTTGTGTGTGTTTGTTGGTGGTGAGTAACTCTTAAGGCCTGGCTAGTAGCTCAGGACTTGAAATTTTAAGCCCTGCTTTCTGGTTCCACTGATATTTTTAACAATAGGAATGGGCTCCAGTTATTACAAATATTGGGTTTGTAATGATGAGATGGGACTGCTCCTTGTTACAACATGATGAGATGAAGTATTTGGGGGATTTCCATAGTACACCGGATAAGGCAGCACATGAACTATGCAGGCGTGTTAATGACTAGTATGGGTTTCTTCAGTACTGTGCACCTTTTCTGCTGCCGGTATTGAATTTTACATGATGCTAATGAGTATGATCAGCAGGATGCAGCAGGCAGACTTTGTATTCCAGGCCTGTATTCTCACTGTCTGCTCCATAATTGAGAACAAATGGGCAGGATGTTGGTAGTGGTTCAGACTTTTTAATTGACAGATCAACATAATGGATGATCTTCAGATTACAGAATGTTGATACATGTTACTTATGTGAACACACTATGGACCGCCAACAAGACAGTGACAAATGGCCCCTGTTCATATTGAACGCACCAAAAATTGCCTGGAAAACATTCATTATTCATGAGTGTTATCTAGAGAAGCATTCTTTTGCACCACCGTCTAATGACAAATCTGCAGTTGTGACATGGGTCTATATGCTGCAATTTATGAAGCACATCAGCTGCAATTAGAGTAAAGCAGTCACCTGAAAGAAATAAATTAAAGGAAGGAAAAACAATATGGAAAAAATAAATCATCATTGCCCAGAGTGAATTATTTAGATTTGGAATCTGACATCCTCCAGTGAGGCAAAGCCATCAGAATGGTTATCCTACATGGGACTGTATTGGGTTAGTAAACGATCTACATTGTATATAAGAATTTTAAGTGTTAAAAAAAAAATCATTTGAACGTGTTAAAGACAACTCTGTCCACAGTAGATGGCCCACATTTGGTGTAGTAATGCAGGCTTTCAAAGACCCGGTGTAACTGATATGTTCAACTCAGCCAAACCCCATCCTAAGGGAATTCTCCATGAAGGATACACAACAAAGACATGGGTTTATCTCTCACCCTAAAGTATATT